ATGATCATTTCCAAAGTTGTACCGTGAACGTAGTACTTTCCCAGACGTTTCGCTGGCATCGTAGTCGGTATCGTTAGTGAGTCTCGCCATTCGTAGCACCATAGTACAGCTCGTCAAAGAGTCAAGTGAAGCCGATCCTTTGACAAAACGTGTGCTAAACAATTGTGGTATCTCCCCTTCTTCCCTGGGCTATTCACATTTCCTATATCCTCCTATCACGCCTTCCCTGTTACATTTTTTACCGTGCTTATTTTGATGTTATGTGGTGTGCTCCTTCGAGCGGCATTCATGAAAACTGTGGAAAGCTGGAGTATGAAGGGTTTTCATGAATGCCGCTCAAAGGAGCACACCACACTACATCAATATAAGCACGGTAAAAATTGTGACAGAGAATGCGTGATAGGAGGATATAGGAAATGTGAATAGCCCAGGGCAGAAATGTTTAGCACACGTTTGGTCAAATGATGGTCTTCACTTGTCTCTTTGACAAGCTGTACTATGGTGCTACGAATGGCGAGACTTACTGACGATGCCGGCGAAACGTCTGAGAAAGTACCACGTCCACGGTCCAACTTTGGAAATAATCATGTATACAATGGACCCTGGACTAGGTACGTTCCTCTAAGTCTTACTTGGAATTTATTGTTTCTATTTGCAAACTAATGCAGATTAAACAAATTCAAACTTTTCTCTTATATTTTTCATCTTAATTGCATTTAATTAACTTCGTTTCCTTGTTTCTTAATAAATAATGCTGCATCGTTTTTACACTGAGTATAGCATTCGCTTCTCTATCAATGTTTTATCTTACCAAAGGCATTCTTTTCTTTTCAGCTTATTTATTCTACCTCATCAATGTTTAATAGCGGAAGCATTTACTTTTATTTTTATGTATAACCTTGTTCAGACTCAACTCCATCAATCTTTAAAGTTAAAGTTAAGGCTCCACTGCTTTTCACATGAGCTCTTTTATTTTATTTTCTTGTTTTAAATGATTCTTCGTTTATATTCGAATTCTTGCACTATTTTCTGCGCATCTTTTGCTTCTATTAATGTTTATAATTAATCTCTTGGTTATTTGTGCTTAGTATCCCCAACTTTATGTTAGTCATGTATGCCTCATTATTTCGTTTTCTTGTTCGTCTATCTCTAGTTGCCAATCGTGGCGTCCTAGGCATCGTGATCGGCGTCTGCTTCGGAGTGCTTATCGTCTCCATCCTCATTCTCGTCTTATTTTCCTTCATCCGCATCAATCAGAAGCGTAAACGTGAGGCTGCGCTTGCTCTGGCTGGCATTGGCGTCAATGATAATGGTTCTGCTGTGGCTAAAGCAAAAGCGA